GTGATATTAATAACAGGTTGTTGAAACAACAAGTGTTGTTTTTTAAATTATTAGCTGATCACTCATATCTGCCTATTATAACCTACTAAGCATACAGTATTCTTTGCAAAGGTAACTTGTGTCAAACTTTATTTGAATGGTATTTTAACTACACCATGTAATAGAGACAGAGGTTAAAATACTCTCTCCCCTCTTACTTCCCTTCAAATTGTCCATCTAAGTCTCACATTCTTAGATCTAGATGGAAAACTGTCTAATTCAGTATTGAAACTAATATAAAAAGTAAGATAAGAATCTGTGAGATTACTTATCTTCTTGTAAGAAGGTTTATTTAAAAAAATATTAAAAAAAATGTATATTTATATTAATTATATATTTTAATATAAAAATAAAAAGAATAATGCTGATGATTTTAATTTACGGAATAAAAAGAATAATCAACAGGTGGAATCAGATAAATGTACTTGGTAAGACTTATGTTCTTTAAACAATAAGTCTTGCTAAGGGCAACTGTCTTACTGCAAAGGCAGATTATTGGACTAATTTTGACACGGATTTTCTCAAAGAAAGATTAATAATCTAACAGAATCTGCTCTATATAAGTACATAAATCTAAAAAATGCTCAAAATATTCAAGATTGTAAAATTTATCTAGATTGACCATTTTTGCTGCGCACAACAAGCAAGTTAGTAAAGTCAGCAATAAAATTAGAATCGTATACAAGCCATTTTACCAGGACCGAGAAATATTTGGAGGAAGTGTGACAGACAGGTGGAAGCTAATTAGCTGAGATGGCAGGTGGACGTGTTTTGTATTGGGTATTCATTAGCATCCAGCAATGGGCAAGTTTCCCCCCCGATGGTTTAGTTGGCAGCGCTACACGAGAAGTTAAGTATGAGTGGATTGGCAGGTAAAGGTATGTGTGCAGCGTGCATTTGTGATCAATGTCTGCCACTAATGGGAGCTGACAGTATTGATCCTGCAGTCTGGCTGTAAAGGCAGGGTACACGTGTGTTTGTGTGTGTAGGCCATCAGGATCAGTCTTATCTAGAGAATCATAGAAGTGGCAGGCTAACTAATGGCCAGTCGAGACTTGCTGTCTGGTTTGCGTTTTCTTATCTCGAACTGAAAAGGCAAAGCAGCATAGTGTGCAGAGTAGGTGCAGCTCTGCTCTGAATCCTGGCTCCTGAAATAAAGACAACCCCTTAAAGAGGTGCAGACTACCTTAGCAATGATGCTACAGAGCTGGGGTCCATCCTGGGTGAGTGACAGCAGGTTGCTAATGGCACTGCCAATAGTCTGGATGCAGTCTGATGACTCAATCTGTTTGATCAGCACCTACAAGGAAGATGAGACCTGAATTACTTCATTGTTAACGTAAGAAAAAAGCAAACACTATTATCTGAATTTTTGAGAGCAAATGAAGACATAGATAAATTTAAGAATTCTTTAAATCATATTTACTAGGCATTTCCACCATATTCCACAGAAGATTTTATTGCTTTACATCATACATGCTGGTGAAGATTCTCAGTCATCCAAGTCATAGTCATTCCGAAATAGTTAAAAAAACAATCCACTGGACTTGGTTTCCAACTTTTTTTGAAGTACATCATACATAGTTTTCAGATAAAGTGTGTCTCATATTTATATTTAACTTCTCTAAAATCAAGACTTCTGTAATGTCTTTATATGTGTACGCTTGGCTGTAAAAAACAGAAAAACTGGGTAAAACTTAGAATGGCTCACATATCAGTAATGGACCAAGCTTTGAATGAACATGTTGCTATCAGGGAAGTTATTTTTACTTTATCATACTTTATCATCAAGTATTGGGGGACTACCGATGAAAATTAGCACCCCTTAACTAACTCGGGTATATTTACATTGTTTTAATGTTGATTAATGTACACTGTCCCCATTCAAATAAACAATAAATGAAATGAAAAATTAGTGATGTTACACACCATCCACAGAATACATATAATGTAAAAGACTTTTAAAACTTGACTGGTTAAAATCCAAAAAAGTGATAAAACAATCCACTGGACTTTGGGTTTGAAAACATTTCGCTTCCCATCCAGGAAGCTTTTTCTATTCAAAATGTCTATTTGAAAAAGAAAAGACAATTAGAAGAAATTTATTGATACAATTACTTTGTCTTTGGCACTCAGAACTCGGCAGGAAACAGTGCTTAATTTTGACAGATATGTATGAACAGGAGCAAAGAATAGGGCTGTTTCCCCCTAGGCCTGAAACTGGTAGTGGAGTGGAGATAGATGAAGTTGGTCAGTCTGTAGACTGCTGGTTAGCGCGATGGTCTGCTGAGCTTTATGGGGAGATCCAGTGGACTGCGTGAGCTGATACTAGAGCTTCACTCAGGGACCTGGAAGATGTATGTCCAGTTTGGATAACACAGGTTGAGAGAACCTGTCCATGATGAGCAAGCATGGAGCGACAGTGGAGAGGAAAAACTCCCCGTTGGGAAGGAAACTCTGGCAGAACCAGGCTCAACATGGCGGTCTTCTGCCAGACAGGGAGCAATGAAACCCTGATGAAGCTTTAGCTATGATGGTGGAGGAGGGGCTTGAAGTGGGTTGAAACAGGGTAATCTAAATGAAGTCAAACAGCGCAAACCACCGCCTATGCACTAGGAGCAGACAAGTTGTGGATCGTAGGCCTTTTATAATGAACTTTGGATGCCAATTGGCTTTCATGGAGGTGTGGTGCAAAGATGATTGGCTGCATCGCAGGTGGATGTAGGAGAGCAATCAGTTTCTTCAGTTGAACTTCCGCCTAGGCTCCATGACAGAAATAGCAATGAGTTCGAATCTTTATATAGTAGCACGAAAACTTGTTTTTCTTAACAATTAATTTAAAAAGCTTCCTGGGTGGGATTTTGGCATGTGGATTTTGGATTTGTTTTATTCTGATGTGTTTAGTTGTTGTTGAGAAACCATTTTATTCTATTATAAAAGGATTTATCTTTTTGTTTTTACTTTCAACTAGCTTAACAACATTTAAGATGTTGCCACTTTTTGTTTAAAAATCTTGCAAATATACATTTTAACCAAGTTTACCACCTAGACCTATGGTGTAACCATCTTCACCACCATCCTGCCATCCTCGACAGATTTAAAAAGCCTTGTTATTTTCATTCTGTTTGTTTATGTGTTTTAAAATATTTCATATTTTAGTGAAGCTAAGATCTAACTTGCTAATCGTCCAATACCTGACTAGCACTGCAGTCACACCTTTGGTGGAATCATTTCCCTCTCACCGATGTCAGGATGCCTCCTCCCCTATAATATTCCAATTAGGTTAGTAGATGTGCAGGGTTTTTTTTGCATTTTTTTTCTCGAAAAATTAAATTCATTGTGACAATATCAGCATTAATAATTATAAAGACCCTGGTTCAAAGGCAATTTACCTCTTATTACCAAGTAGGTAATAAGCTTTTTGGATGCTGTGTGTTTCTCTGCTCTGTTACTTGAAATTACTTAAAGGTAAAGAGGGTGATTTTTGATTTCCGGGTGGATCATCTCGATAGCTTGTCCTTCTAATTGTCAATCATTCTGGTTGATATTTTACGTAAGGCCGTCCTACATGCTTGTTCCATTAGTTATCTTTTTCTGCACATGCGTACTTTCAGGCGTATATCTGTGGTGAGCTACAGTTTCAGACAGTCATTGAAGCTCACCTTTCTCACCGAGGTTCTTTGAAAATGGTAGAGGGTCTTAAAAAAAAAGTGAAGTTTATGAGAAGAAAAGAAAGGCCTCAGAAGAAGCAGATATATCCCAGAATGCTTTGTGTGCAGAGCTCTCCTCGCAAAGCCCTATGCGTTTTGGCTGTCGATACCCGACAGCAGCGACTAATAAGAAAGATGGCGCCGGCACCGTGTGGTGGAGGAGTTACATGACCAATGGGAAGCAAAAAGCAGTAAACAGTAAGCTTGTATGAGCTATAAGAACAGCACATTTTACACAGGTCATGCACAAGGAGAAATGGGCTCATGCATGCTCTTGCACACACATTTTTTTTTTTAAGTGGAGAGGGCAGTGCTTTCAAAAAATCCTCCACAAAACCTTTTAGTACTGCAAGTCAGTATGAAGGAAAAAAAGCAAGAAAACATCTTTAAAATCTATGCAGATACACAAAGGTAAATTCAGCGACCTACCCGGATCTCATTGGCTAACGCCATGTCAATCATGTTGCTGAAGGAATCACTGACATCTGTAAGGATCTCATGGATCGCTTCCCTCATGGACTTAAGGAAGAATTCATCATCTGTGTGCAGGCACCTGCAGGTAAAAGGTTCAAATATCTTCACAAACACAAATGGAAAAAATAAAAAATAAAAAAAAGTATGTAGCTACTGTTTTGTCTTTTAGATGGGATAATATGTTTAAATCCTGAGTAAACTACAGTATAATAATCAAATGGATCCTATATGCCTTCAATCGGGTGTAAAAGTGTAAAAGCATCTCTGGAAAGAAGTCTGATCTACCTTAGGAGTTTTGCAAATTCTGTCTAATCTGGACACAAGCCACGACTCTAAAAAAAAACAGACAGTGCTCATTGTCCTAATCATATGAGAAAAAACTATGATAAAAAATAAATGCATAAAAAGATAATAAGGGTATAAAAAAAGCATCCTAATCTTTTAGGAGGCAATCATACCAATGTATGAAATGTACAGATGTATATTTTACTGCACTGTAGTTATTGTTAGTCAACAGCACAATATTTCTATGTTCTCCCTAATTTATTTGGTGTTAGGATCTCTGAGGTTTGGCTTTTTTTCTGGTGTGAGTGAGCTTCCTGTCACAGAGAGGATCTTTGCTGGTAGGTGGGCCGACCTGTGTTACTGCACACCTGAGAACATTTCCTCAATCAAGATGACTAGCGTGTATATAAGGACCATGTAACAACCAAATTTAAAAAGTATTCTATGATCCAATGTAGGTAAAGCAGCATGAGTTTGTTGCTTCTAAAGCCAGTGGCTTTACATTGGGCAACCTTAAAGCTGTTCGTTTTTCCACCAGAACAGGAACTTAGAAGAAGATATATTTAGGTGAAAATCTGACTGATGCTTTAAATTTGTCACGCTTCATTCACTTAGCATCACATTTGTGTTATTTAAAGTGTGCAGGTCTTTTTCCTTTCTTTTTATGTATGTATTTACTCGATGGTAAAGGTTACCTCTCTGTGATGTTAGTTAGCTCCATGCACTTTTCCAGGAGGGATTTCTCATACTGCAAAAAAAATAAAAGAGGCAAAACAGAACATAAATTCATAATTAGCAAAAAATATTTAAAACAAACAAAACCTATTGTGTTTTAGTTACATTTACCAGGATTGACTGAAATAAACGTGTGGCATTGGACAGAATAATGGTCATTGAATCATTGCAAATCTGAAAAGTGGGGCTTGCAATTGTCCCACTTTTTAATGCAAACTAAAATTACAATCCTGAGCAACAATTTACATTCAGTTTAAATTAGAAGAAGGCTGAAGAAGTTTGTTTGAGGCCATTATTGTACATAAAGCAAAATGAGGAGTGGGGAAGGCAGCAGAAACGGTCAGATTATTAAACAATATCCCAAACAGGATGACAACATGATCCCTATGCTGTAAATCTAATATGAAAGGAAAATTACAAGAAACTAAATTCACAAATGATAAACTTCATTTCAGAAATGAAATGAAATCCATTAAAAGTAGAGTTTACCATATTCCAGGTTCAACACATAAAAAGCATAATTAGGAGGTACTGTGGTGAGCTGAGACCATTAACTATGGAGTGAATTTTATTCCATTGTTGAAAGCAAAAAAAGCAAATGTCTTTCTAAATGGATACTTTTGATGTTAACAATTCTTTAAATTAGAAAATAAAAAGTTTGGAGTATTTTATTTTTTTAAATAATATATATATATATATATATATATATATATATATATATATATATATATATATATATGTATATATATATATATATATCAAATATAATAATATAGATTAACATTTGTACCTGTAAAATGATAAGAGAAGTAAAAGTTTAAGGAGGGTCAAGATTTTTTTTCAAGATGTTGTATAAGTAGGGAAAAGGAATGTGGCTTTGCCTTTTTAAAGGTCAACTCTTATTGTGTATTGAACCAAAAACATAAAAAAAAAAAAAAGAAACACAGAAAAATCTCTGTCAAGTATCACCTTCTGCATCTCAGGAGGAGTGTTCCGAGCAGCGCTGTACTCATGTACCAATGAACGAACGTGGCAATTTGCACGTACAGCTGTGCTGTGGACCCTCTGCCAGCGGCCTTTCTCTAGTCGCTGGAACATCTTTCCCAGCTCTGTGCTGACCACCAACGCACGGCGAAGGAGAGTCTGCAGGTTGTTCCTGGCTACATGGTCCCCTGCTGTGATCCCAGAGGTCACTATAAGCTCTCCCTGGTGGGAATCCTCCTCCACTCCGATTGGTTTGGCCTGAAGGACACACATGCACTCCACCTCTGTCATGTGGCGGAGGTCCTCCATCCACCGCTGGACCGAGTCCACCTGTAGCGTCTGCATACGGCTGCTGTAGCAAAAATAAATAAAGATAGGATAAGATTTAGACATTGTTGACTATTAATTGATATGTGAAACAGAAGAATGATGATGGCAGAATTCAGATTCTTTTATTTTGAACCAAAAACTAAGGTAACATTTGATTGTACAGTAGCAGGCCCTTCCCTGTCAAACGCCAGCCGAATGGCAGCCCACTTCCCTCCAATTTCACGTGAAATCCATGGAGTGACATACATAGCATATATATTTTTACTCTGACTTTCACTGAGTTACAGGGTCTGACCAGGAGATGATGCTTATCTTTAGATCTTAATGTCCACAGATCATGACAGAAAGAATAATTTAGTACAAATTATGATGTTTAAAAAGGAATTGTAGGGGACCAGCCAAGGGCCCATCAAGGAAAGTTGGGAAATTTTGAATGGCTTTTTTTTTTTTTTTTTTTTTTACAACCAAATGTGTTGTGATCTATTCATAATAGGGAAAAAGAGGAAAGACAAAGTAAAAAATAAATTCAGATCTTGGATGCACCCCTGCTCCAACACTGCTAATTCAAATAAATTTCCTCTAATGCCATCAAGTTTGGCAAAGGCCTGTTAAGCAGCCATCCATTATTTCCACTATGTTGGAGCAGTGAAGCATCTAAAATGTGCAGGATAGTAGATCTTGAGGTGCAGGGTTGGAAACACCTGGGGCCCGCTTCACAAAGCAGGATTAACAAACTCAAATTCTCAACTCTGAATTGATGTAGCTTAAGGCTGGAAACTCTGAGTTATCGGTGTGTGTTAGTTTAATAAGCTCTGAGAAGTTTTAATCGGAGTTTAGCACTTATGTAACAACTATAAAAAGCCATTACTGTAGGTGCGGCGCTCCGATTTGAGAAGTCACCTTGACAAATGGCTAAACCTTACACCTTATTCTAATGATGTGAATGGTATAAATTACATTTTAATAAAAAAAAAAGTTCAAGCAGAAATTAAACATACTTTTCAACAAGCCCATATGTCTGCTGTGAAATATTTTTATTAGCCTAATGTATTATTCTAATATTCTTTAGCTGAAAGCATAATGCCTTAATCGACCAAAATGAAGGCTTGAAAACATTACTCTTTCACTTAGTGAATTAGTTAATTAAAATAAATAAACATTTCAATGGTATTCTAATTTTCTGAATGGACTGTATGTGGAGACCAGGGTTGTCTGAGATATGGGCAGACATTTGTGATGACCAGCATGTTGATTAGTCAGAAATTTGCATATATGAGGAAGTTATCACCACGACATGTAGGTGAAAGATCAGCTTCAACTACAGTTTTTGCTTTATCATGCTTTATTCTGTGCATCATCCTTATTTTCTCTAAAAGAAAACACTAATCAGTTGGAATTTCCCAATGTTTAATTAAATAAATATTATATATAGTATATTCAAGGTCTACAATATCTGAATAATGGGATAAAAGAAACTACAACTGCTTACGATTCTAGATTTCAGAACATCAAAGACTAAAGTAGGCTTGTATTGACATCTTAGATTTCTTGGAATTCTAAGACTTTTAAACGACAGAGAATCTTTGCAGATTTTGAGCAGGTTTAAAACTTTTAAATCGTACCTAATATGTGAATAAGCAGATGACATATTTCATAGGAGGATACCTAAGAGGATATCAAATTGGAAAAGCCGTAGATTTAGAAATTTTAAGCTGAGCCCTTGATTTAGTCGCTGTTGAAGGACAATCAATGCACTCAAAGTCTTCCTGCTGCAAAAATGACCACATTTCCACATATGTGCTTGACAGCTGGAAGAAGGTCTTTGGCTCTCTCCAAACATGGTGCGGTAAATCACAGCCAAACAGCTGTTCTTTGCCCTTGTGTGTCCAAATGACGTGGTTCTCAAAGTATGGTCATTGATTCATCTTTGCATGTATGAATTGTGAAAAAAAATATAAATGTTGTCAGAGTTGTAAGAAAGAACAGGCTTTTGATAATCAAAGGCAGTTTGTTTACCTTGGCCCTACTGTTACTCTACCTTTCTTATACCTCATTTAAAATAGTTAGGTTATCCTGAGCTATTTTCTGTATTTGTGCTGCTGTATTGGTCAAGTTACACTCAAAACTTTATGTTCTCTCTGCTTTTTCTCCACACCTTACCTTCATCTGGTCTGTTCCTGTACAACTGTGACTCCATGCCGAATTAAATTATCAGCTGTGCCCCTGCCATTAACATCTCTGTTTATTGGTATTCAAGCTTTCTCACACTGAGCATTGTTCTATTGGAGGTTTCTTCCTGTTAAAAGGGAGTTTCCTCTCCACTGTCGCTTAATGCGTCCATGGTGTGACGGGTTGCTGAAGAGGCAACGACAAAATGCAGGCGAAGGTCTTCATCACAGTCTCATCCAGGAGGAGCGTGCCTTGGAGGTCCATGACTGAATGTAATGGAATAGTTTTCCTAACCAGTCTGATAGCATTGTCTCTGTAAAGTGCCTTGAGATCACATGGATTGTGAATTGGTGCTATATAAATAAACTGATTTGAATTGAATAGTTTACAAATTAAAAATTAAGTCTTTACTATTTAAGATTAATCTTATTCTGGCCGGATATAATACAGTGTTTTTTAGTAGCACTTTTCAGTTTAAGTATTTCCTTTGCTATTGTGATATTAGGCACTTCAAGATTAAGTACAAAAAATAAGAGCATCTTTGGGGAAAAAGTGATATTCCTATTGCTTAAACTGTAATTATATTTTTTTATCTTTTCCTATAGTCTAAACATTTAAAGAAAACATTTGGTCCCTTCATGGCATGTGCAGGCAAGACAAATAAAAACTAAGAACTTCAGTATAACCAGCTTTATCTGACAGCAGCTGACTCATTCCCCGACCTCCATCAAAAGAGGAACATTAAGTGTTCCATAAAAAAACTGCAGTGACCAATCATGTGTTATACAGGTCAGTTCCATCAATTAATACTAGTTTTGGTTCTTGTTAGTTTAACCCCAGAGAGGAGAGCTCTATCAATACGCTGCAGCGGGTAAACACTCCACCAACTTCAATCTCTCCCGGCACTGATCCTAAAGAAGAGAGGCTTTAAAGAGCAGTACAGAGTCCGAGGCTTCCTGGAAGAGAGTCGATCGATGGCTACAGCGGCCACCCCTGCTTTGAGTCAACACAAAAGGGTCTCTAATGAAGATGGATGTTTGCCGTTTGTCGCTGGGCTCCTTCCTGACAGTTTGGATAATGCTGTACTAAACCTAGCTATGGAAATGTCCCATCAAACACCAAAGCTTGGTGGCAAGAGAATGGAGCATTACTGTTTTCTCTGACACTTCTATGACGAGTAGTTTCATGATATGAAAGTCTGACATTTATCAGAGATAATAAGTGTGGCATAAGCATGATTCCTGCAGTTATCTGGTTACTTTCAAACAAAATGAAGCGGGCTAGAGGGGGCACCGTTAGATTGTTGTTCTGGACATAGTGAATTGTTCACTATCTTAAAAAGTGTAGCTGAGATTTATTCAAACCACTTACTAATAATCTACTGAAACCACAAATTATCATGTATTTGCCAATTAACGAAAGTTAATTCATGCAAATCAGATCAACTTACAAAATACTTAAATCTCATCTGTAGTGAAATTAAACTGCCTAATATAGTCTGAAGTTTCAATACCAATCCACATCCACAGGAGACAAGAGGCACAAAGCCAACACAGTAAATACATGCCTTCACATGTATGTACTTGATACGCATGAAGTTATGCCTGAACTGTTGGTGGCGCTGTGACAAAATGATGGAAACAATGACGGAAGGGCACAACGGTTAGGCACCATTTTGTTAACCTTTGTCACTTGGAGGATGGAACTCACGTAAGAAAGTAAACAGGCTGTGATTGGTTTGCTTCTTTCCCAGTCTCATGCTATTGAATCTGCAAGCATAAAATGTTCAAAATGTACGATGAAGCCCTAAAGGAACCCATGAATCTAGGAACCTGATTGAAAGAATGAAAATCTTCCAAAGCTACAAATAAGTTTGTTTTTGTTATATAATTTAACCAAAAAACAAACAAAAAAATTAAATGTGTGCAGCAGGCAAAAGTGTATGTTTACTAGGGTTATAAGTAAAAAAATATATTCTGCCATATATTGCAATATTTTATCAAACAATATATGTATCAATTGAAATTAGCTATACTGCAATATTTCATTTGACGATATTGGTATCATTCAAGATGGAGCTGAATAGATCTTAAATGTACAAAATATTTTAGGCAAACATCCTTTTTATTGTCTTACTTTTATATAACTCTTAAACCTTCAGCCACTAGTTTAATCTGAAAAACTCACACGGAGAAAAAAGACAATTAGAAGAAATTTGTTGATACAATTACTTAGTCTTTCGCGTGCACACCTCAGCAGGAAACATAGCGCTGAATTTTGATAGACATGCATGAACAGGAGTAAAGAATAGGGCTGTTCAGGAGTCCAGGAGGAATGAAACCCTGAGGAAGTTTCAGCTACGATGGTGGAGGAGGGTCTGGGTTGAAACGGGGTCATCTGAATTAAATCACACAGCGCATCCCCCGCCTGCGCACAGGAGCAGATAAGTTGGGGATCGGAGGCCTTTTAAGATGAACTTTGGATGCTGATTGGCTTTCGTGGAGGTGTGGTTCCAGGCTGTGTTGCAGGTGGACGTAGGAGAGCAATCAGTTTCTTCAGCTGAACTTCCACCTAGGCTGCATTTGACAGCACACTGCCCAAGAGTCCAGGACAGTTGTTATTCAACTGTCCAGGAACATCTGGAGCAGAGGTTTACAAAGTTTTATAATTATAAAACTTCTAAATATATTGTGTTTGCTAAAATATATTTGGATAAATCTTATCTTGACAGGTGTATTGTGATAGGTATTGTATCAGCAAATTCTTTCCAATTCACGCCCCTAATGTTTGGTATTCAACCAGATAATAGACTTTTCTAAAAAAAAAAAAAAAAAATAATGACTGTGTAGGGTG